CCCTTTCCTCCCTTCCCTCGTTCCGCTTTCCCTACTCGCCTCCCGCGCGTTCGTTAACCCCCTTCCCGTTTCCCCTCCCACTTCTCCTCCCACTCCTCCCGCTCCTCCCGCTCCTCCCGCACCTCCCGCACCTCCGTCCCTTCGCGTTTCCCCTCCGTCTCCTTCTCCCGCTCCTCCTCCCGCTCCTCCTCCCTCTCCTCCCACACCTGCTCCCGCTCCTTCTCCAGCTCTTCCCGCTCCTCCTCCCGCGCCTCTTCTGCCAAACAACATGACAAAGATCCCGCATAGCCATCTCCTACGGAAAAAAAAAGAAAAAAGGTCTGCCACGTGGCTAGCCACAGAGAGAGAGAGAGACAGAGACTGACCTCCCACTGCTCCTCCACCACAACTTCGTCCTCCTCCCGTTCCTTCTCCCCTCCCGCTCCCGCTCCTCCCGCTCCTCCGCCCGCTCCTCCTGCCTCTCCTTCTCCCGCTCCCCCTCCTGCTGCTGCTCCTGCTCCTCCCGCTCCTCCTCCTCCTCCCACTGCTTCTCCTGCTCTTCCCCCTGTCCCTCCTCCCGCTCCTCCTCCCGCTCCTCCTCCCGCTCCTTCTCTGGCTTCTCCTCCTCCTCCTGTACCTCCTCCTGCTCCTCCTACCTGTCGCGCGTCGGTCTGCCTCTGCACGTATGTGGGCCTGCCTCTCTACCAATCTCCTCGTGCCGCTCGTTGGCCCCACTTCGCACCCACCGACGGACCGCCGTTCCACAAACTTCTTCGCCGCCAGTCACAGCCGAATTTTGGGTGGGCCTGGCCTTGGCCCAGTTTTTTTTTCGGACGAGCGCCACAAGAGTCGGGGTTTCGCATGATTCGGCCTGGCTGGTGGGCCTGTCGGTTCGTTCCCAGCGCGTTCCCAACACAGGAATCGGGGTGAGCGCCACAGGAGTCGGGGTTTGGCGTGATTCGGCCTGCCTGGGGGGGGCGTCGGTTCGGGCCTGGCGCGTTCCCAACACAGGAATCGGGGTCTCGCGTGGGACGGTCACGTGAGACCCACTCCTTGCTTTAAGAGTATTGGGAAGTACCTTATTAAGTCAAGATTCAGAAGGATTCAGAAACATGTCGGGGCCATTACCCGGCTTCAGCACCCTCTAGTGTAGCCATGTAGCTCCAGGCTACCCCCTTACCGAGTTCAACCATCTACGGGAGGCACGAGAGGGTTGACCTCCTCCTTCAGCCTCTTCAGCCTCTCCTGTTATCTCTTTTTTTTTTTTTTTTTGTTGAACTTCGCATGTGGGAAAACCTACTATCTCTTGTTCTTCTATTCATTCTGTCCTGAGTGGCTGCCTGTTTGAAAGAATTTTCCTAAGCTGTGTCTTCCATTAAGACCTGAAGCTACCTTTGTTAGCTCTACCAGCAAGTTTACCGTTTGTCAGTTATGTCCAGTTGATGTAGCTCAGTGGTTAGAGCACTGGTTGGAAATGCGCATTGTGGTATGAGGTTGCGGGTGCGCAGGACACCGGCAGGGCGTTCGAATGGCGCACGGCTGGACACACCCCCTTGGGATGCATGGTAGGCTATTACAGACACTGCCTGCGCACCACCCAAGGGCTGTCCACGGTGTTGTATGTCGGGTCTTGATACTGCTGGTTGTTCTGTTGATCTGCCCGGTTCCCTCTACATAATACTACACATATCTGGCCTTCGGGCACATACATCTCGCTATACAGTTACACAGAGCACACATAGCCTTCGGGCAGACAAAAACATGGCTTGTGAACATATATACACATAGCCTACGGTCTCATACAAACATACATAGCCTCTGGGCACACGTATACACACAACTATGATACCGGGCTGGGGGGGTCTATGAGGTATATGACGGGGTCTACTCACGCGTGCATGGCTTAGCTCTAGGGCTGGGTAGGGATATAAGTCGCTCCAGCTAGTCTGAGTTCCGCCTAGCCTTGGGTAAGTTAGGGGAAGGACGGTAGGATGTGTCCATGGGCGCGGAAGCGGACGAACCTTGCCATAAGACTCTCCGAATTGGGCATGTAAAAGATTGCATGAGCCTGGCGTCCGAAGTTCACGTATGGCAAGGTTCGTCCGCTTCCGCTTCCACTAGGGCTGGGGGGCTGGCCCAGCCTTGGAGCTTGTCACTGCTGTCTGGTCCAAGTTGCCCTCTATACTGGTGGGGTGATGGTTCTGAGTGCTGGTCACGCTGAGGTAGGATAGTCGGGACAGGGGTTGCACTGGGAGTATAAACGTGGAGATGGGTAGGGTAGGTGGCCTATCCTGTGAGAACAACCATTGGTTGCCGCTGCCAGCAATCAGCACCGGTCCGGTCCTTGGCCTCTACAACAACCTGGGCTTAAACCACCAGTACCTGGCCCAGCTATCAAGTCCGAGCCTCAGCCGACCGGTACGCCGATCCGTGCCGAGGCTCGGACTACCGGGCGCAGGCATCCCGAACGTTGACATGAAAGCCACGAAAAAAACGGGGGAAAAAAAACGAAAAAAAAGAAAAAACAAATAAGAAAAACGAACGGGATCGTTCCCGCCTTGCGTCGGAAACGCAAAGCGCGAATGAATCTTCCCGCTTTGGCGGATAGATCTCTCTCTCTCTCTCTCTCTCTCTCTCTCTCTCTCTCTCTCTCTCTCTCTCTCTCTCTCTCTCTCTCTCTCTCGTTTCGAAAAAAGGAAACGGGAATGCATCTTCCCGCGGATAGAGAG